TGTGAATAGATTAAAATTCTTATGCTTCAGTTGTTCAAGGAGACCTGCAAAATATTTTCATCATTAGATGTTAAAGTTTATTAAAGTGTATCAAATGTTCTTCATGAATACTTTGTGCATGGGAGTTAGAATGAAAGAAAGATTCACTCTCTTATAAACTTTTTCATCTTTTGGAATCATTATTTGAGCGCTTGAGGTGAGTGGGGGTTCAAAGTAACCAAAAGGCCTTTGAATCTTTGACTCCGGGCCTTATAGAGAGTTGACGATCCTCTATATGTGGTCAAGGATATGAATCAACTCGAGCCTTTGAATTCTTTTCTATTTTTAAGTGCGTAAGTTACGTAATATATTGTCTACGTGCCTATCATACGTGTAATGTTCAATTTGTGTTTGTTCTCTTTTTCATTTTGTTTTGGGTTCTTGGCGGTGTTTCTTGGGCTACCTTAGTTGGAGAAGTTAATTATCTTTTGAGCTTGTTTCTCCCATTTTATCAAAAAAATCCAAAAAAATAAGAAAATATAAAAACCAAAAAATTTTTACTTTTTATTCAAACCCCCCCCCCCTTTGTGTTATGTTTATAAGTTATATTATAAGTTCTTTGTTTATATAAGTTGTTTTATTATAAGTTTTATAAGTTCTTATCATATGTGTAGTTTTTTTATTTTATTTCGTGACAATGTGTGTGCATGCTTAAATGATTTCAAAAGTACAAACTTTCTCCGTGGGATCGACCCTTACTTGCCCTAGCTATAGTTTTTATTTGATTATATCTCGGGGGTTAGTTAAGGTTAATTTATAAATTTTTAATTTGTTTTGGACCGCACGACAAGTCCCCAACAAATTTTGGCGCCGTTGCCGGGGAAAGTATTGTAAAGAATCAATTTAGTATGTATTTGTGTTTTTTGTTGTATGTGAGACAACATGTTTTAGAAGTAGCCTCTTTCTATTATTCTAAAGTGTTTCACATGTTAACTTTCTAGAACTGAGGTTACCAATGCTAGAGCAAATTGAAATCAGCACAGTTCGTTGTGTTTATGTTAAAAAGTGTGATCAATATGCTTTTTTGTGAAGAATTTGGTACCGTTTTTCAAAAATCCGCATTTTGAACACTCTTTTTGTTTTACTCTCTAGCTTGCTGATTTTTGGCCAATTCATGTTTTATATGCCAAGTTTGTATGATCTATGTGGTGTTTTTGTCAAAATTTCAGATCTGTCCAATGCATTATTTGATAAGCTTGCACTTTGTTTTTTATTTTTACTACTTTAGCATGCTGGTTTTGTTCATGGACTACTTTTATGTATGTGAACTGATCCTACAATGTTAAAATATGCATATGAACTGAATTAGAGCACACATTTTTGTTTTTACAGTGCTTTTCAAGCTAAAAGTGCAGTTTTTTTTAAATATGGTTGGAATTCACTGTTTTTCAGAACAATTTACCCCTTTATTGATTTCTCATGCTGATTTTTGTCCTCCAGAAGTGCTGATTTGCTTCAAATATGAAATATAATCGATATATCTTGCTTAGGGACAACATTTAGAAGCATAAGATGTTGTTTATATGCGGATTTTGGTGTGTTAAGTGCTGAATTAATGAAAAATCTGATCTGAATGGTTGTTTTATTCAAAAATCAGTAGTGTTTTTGCTTCACTTTCATGCTTGATTTGCGTTCTTAAGGCTCTTGTTTGCTTAAAATTGAACTATAGTTGTCAAAACCATGCATTGGAACTGATGTGAAGCATTTAACATTTCTTTGCTAGTTGATTTTGAATCTCATATGCTGCAATTTGCTCAGGAAATCCTAGATGACTAACAATCTGATTTCGAACCTGGTTTTCATGACTATGCTTATGGAGAATCAGATTTTTAATTCTTAATTGAGCATGTCGCTATTCTTAAAGTTGAAGTCAATTCTTGAAGTTATCTTGTTTTTTTTATTGTTTTAAAGAAACACATTTATTTTACTACTTGATGGTTTATTTGAATATGTTTTTGGCAAGTAGTAAGCTTTGTCTAGCCAAAGACGTTATTTTAAATGATAGGTATTGTGATATCTTAATTTGTACGTAGGTGCATATTATATTGATAATATATGACTGGATTGACCCATCTTGAGAATACTGCATGGATCTACAGTAATGTGTTTATAAGTATTCTCAAATCGACCTTGTTATAACTATCCTCAGACTTGAAGTTATTACATTCTCTGATATATGGGGCCGTATGCTTTGATTCATAACTAATGCTATCTGAAATACTGGTAGACGTACAGTTATGCGTTGGGTATGCCGCTAAGCATATTTAGAGATGTGAATAGCAGATACAGGATCTGTCCCTTCTACTGTATAGAAGTATAATGTCAATGGGCCCACTGAATAGTAGGACTTGGGAAAGTGCATGGCCATGCTCAGATATGTCGCTATCTAGAGACTGATAAATATCTGATCCCTGCCAGTCTACTTGAGATTCAGTAACAGCTGATTTAACTATACAAGGATACACATCCCATGCCTTGTGTTAAATCATGACATTTAGGACAGAAGGATAATAGTTATAGAACGTCTTGTGTCGTAGAAGGTATTGATGAGATGAACGTCTTTTTCATAATCTGGGGATAATAATGTGTTGCTAGATACCGCTTATTATCTATGGTATTAATTTNATGCGTTGGGTATGCCGCTAAGCATATTTAGAGATGTGAATAACAGATACAGGATCTGTCCCTTCTACTGTATAGAAGTATAATGTCAATGGGCCCACTGAATAGTAGGACTTGGGAAAGTGCATGGCCATGCCCAGATATGTCGCTATCTAGAGACTGATAAATATCTGATCCCTGCCAGTCTACTTGAGATTCAGTAACAGCTGATTTAACTATACAAGGATACACATCCCATGCCTTGTGTTAAATCATGACATTTAGGACAGAAGGATAATAGTTATAGAACGTCTTGTGTCGTAGAAGGTATTGATGAGATGAACGTCTTTTTCATAATCTGGGGATAATAATGTGTTGCTAGATACCGCTTATTATCTATGGTTTTAATTTATATTAATATCATTGCCAGTGTTATGGATACCTAAAGGGTCACACACTTAGGACTTGTAAGGGAGTAGTATACTACACTAGTGGGAGTAATATTAAATATATAGTTGTGATAATTTTATATATATATATATATGTATTTCGAAAAATACATATGTATTTTAAAATTATATTTTGTTTGTGTCATTTTAATTATATGATAATTATATTTTGACAAAACAAATTTTATTTTATATATATATATATATATATATATATATATATATATATATATATATATATATATATATATGTATCACCGATATATATATATATATTACTTTTATTTTCATCATTTTAATTATATGATAATTATTGATGTAAAAATAAAATGTGATGTATTTTAACATGCTATGGCCGAAAATATCAAAGGGAAAATACAAGACATAAATTTATTTTCTACCTAATGATATATTTGATTTTATAATCAAATATTTGATTAACAAAAGTATACTTGTCTTGTTGTGTTGGTTGGGGACATTACACTAATCTCATTTTGTTTTTATCCCTAAGCAATTTCCTAGCATTTTCTTAATACATTGTATTATATAATGTGAGTATCCCTCCCTATTTTATAAGAGTAATTTTCGGCCACATAGAGAGAGAGAGGAGAAAATTATTATTTTGTGTTACAAGTTATTTTTCTAAAGTGTTAGAAATATACACAATATATTATAAAGAAATATTTATAAGATAAATATTTTACTATATATTTATTACTCCCAAAGTAGTATTATTATAGTTTTTACTATCCTAAATTAAACTTGCTAGCACAAGTTTAATCTAGGACTCCGGAGCAAGTTCGTGTGGATACGTTGGAGGCTTCATACGTTTGGGCGTTACGTTCATCTCCTCAAAACCATCCCCGACCGTTCCTCCGTTCTCTCTTTTCACTGTTAAGGTAAATTTCTTACTATAGCTAGTAATTTACGTAAGTTGTTCTTGGGTGGAATCGAGTTTTGGACTATAAATTTTTGTTTTCCGCTACGTTATCCAAGCCTCGTTTCCCAACACCAACTCCTCCGGGAAGAACAATGAAAGCTTCCACGGCATGATTCATCTCAAAATATTTGTAGTAATTACTCGAAACTGTGTGCTCTACACCGTACGTAGGTCCATAGACACGTCGTGCTACTATGTACCCAGGAATGAAACCTCTAACGAGACCACCATTGGTAAAGACTGTTGAAGCAATAGCTCCTTGAAGGCCAACACTACCTCCTCCATAGGCAAGTTTAATTTTTCGTCTTAACAGTTCCCTTCCTAAATCTACCGCAGTAGCCATAAACTTTGGATTTCTACCAAGAGAATGACTGCCAAGTAGACCAACGAATCTTATGGTGTAAGGAAGTGTTCGAGAAGTTCCTTCCATAATGTGAGAATGTGAGATACTCTTTCCATAATCGTGATATATACAGTTTCTAAAACTGAACCATTGATGGAAAAGTAAATATCACCAGCCAAAATACGTATAGTAAAATGGATTCAAATTACCTGCAAACGAGAACGTACTCGCTGATACTATAGTCTGCTGACGATATGATGTATTGAGACTCTTGAATAGTTAGATTCGCTGTCCTGAAACACGTTGAAATCCGAGACGAAAAGTCAAAACCGCTATTTCCTAAGACAACGACCTCTTGAGTGACTTCCAAAGAGTGAAACATTGAAGGAAGAAAACCTACGATTAGTAACGGTAATTCGAAAACGCTATCTTGATATCTTGTGACTCATATCCTTGAATTACTCAAACTTGTTGTGTTAACTACACCCTTGAAACATCCCGCTTGATCAATCTTGAAAAGATTGAATTTCATTCTTTGTATCAAAATAATAAAACCACGATTCTTCATTAAACAAAAAGATGTTGTATAATACCGATCTTTGAAAACTATACCCTGTGGAATACGTGACTCGATCACAATAGTAAAACTACCTTGACTTGAACATTATGTTGAACCTCTCTCTGTAGACCACAAAACAACCAATACGGTTGTGTTATCTATAAAGATTACTATCGATGATGATCAAGGAACTCCGTTATAACCCTATCAAGGGAATGTTTGTGCGACAACTAGAGTAGAAATGACGTCACAAAGATCAAGTTGAACCATCTAAAGCAAAGAAGGAAAGTTCAAAACGACATGGTGTATATGAGACGCCACTCGATTGTCAACACCTATGAATGCGAATTAATACAAAGACTCATTGATGATAATGAGAATTACTATGAAGTGTGTGAAGAAATGTTTTTACATAAAGATCAATAAATGACGAGCGACTGTACAACCGATCGACAGTATTTCCTCCTAAATGATGACAAATCCTATATCCTAAAAATCTTGGACCACTAAGAGACCTTTGACGTATTTGCAAATCATGGTTGAACTATGTGAACGATACGAAGATATCTCAAAGTGAAATTTACGTTATGATGTGTGAATTGAAGACAAACTCCAAAAATCTTCCACTACACCTATCGCAAACTTGATAATTCGAAACTGCAAGGGCTACTGAAGGACTTCCAATCAAAATAAGAAATATCGTTAATCGACGTTGTACAATTGGGAATTGTGAATAAACGAAGTTATGTGCGAGTATGTCAAATATACAACCGTATACATTGCAAGGAAACCTTAGTTGTTGACACTGAAGGATCATTGAATGTCTTGCTTAATCAAAGATTTTAATCTCTTGAAGAAAGAACGAGTTTGGTAACATCGACAGTTTGAGAATACATATTCGTGTGGATAATGACGTGATTATGATTTAACTGAATCAACATGACACGGTCATTATTAAGTGCGATCACAACAAAATGTTGAACGTTGAGCCTTAGAAGAATTTCGAGGACGAAATTCCTTTAAGGGGGGAGAAATGTAACGCCCCAAAACATACCCTAGAATTATTAATAAATAAATAATAAATTAATCAAATTTGTTTTGATTAAAAATAATTTATTGTTGGACTTTGGGTCGAAATAATATGTGTTTGATATCCAATATCTTAATCTGGATAAATCTCGTAGAGATAAATCCAATATGTTTGACTAATTGTGTAATCTTGGTTGGGAACCGAAGTACAAACCCAAAATCAGCAATAAATGAATAATGTGTTTATGATGTAAACTTTAAAATGACTTATTGAAATAAATCATGAGAATAAATAATATGAATTTAGTATGAGTACCTTTTTAAGTAAAGGTAAAATAAATCAATTTTGACTTTGTCAAAGTCAACCACCCAAAAATATGATGTCGGAAAAAGTATTACAAATAATTATGAAAAGTATATCTTTGGATAGAGCTCGACTGTCTGATCGCAACGGTGCAAACGGATTTCAATTTGGAGAAAGTTGGACCAAAAAGTGTACCCCGACTGTACCAAAATAGGTCCCAATCAGGGAACTGTTTACACGGCGCCTCCTTCCCCACTACGCCGATCGTAGAATTGTGGAGTCACCATAGTTGTCTTCTTCTTCTTTCCTTCTCATTATATAAGAGAACCCAACCTTCTCATTTCTTCACCATTCTTCTTCGTTCTTCTTCCTAAGTGTTCATGAAAGTGTGAGGAGTGTTGTGGTGCTGTCAATTTGGTGTGAAGTCACTGGAGTTGGGAGAAATACTCGCCAGAAGTTTCGCCGGAAAATTTCCAAAACCTTCATTAAGCTTCGAGGTAAGCCCCTAGATATATCTAATGACTAGAATGTTCATATAGTTTGTTTCTACGTTCATAGATGGTCATTTGGTTGAGTTTTGTGTTTGACATGCTTGAAGAACTAAGAATCATAAACCATGAAGTTGGTGTTAAAATTATGAATTAATGATGCTAAAATGATCTATGAACCTTGGAGAACATTTTTATATACTTTAATTGAAGTTTGGGAAGTAAAAATGACATTTCCGCAAGATGACTCGAGGTAGAAGACGATGAACAGTCGATTATGAACTTGAAAATCGACTGTGGCTTGTTCCGCAGATTTTTGGAACAAAGCTGAGCAACAGTCGATTGTCAAAATGTGACAATCGACTGTCATCCCTCCTTGAAGTTTGATAATCGATTATTAGAGTGTGATAATCGATTATCAGCACATTCTGAACATCAGACAGTAGATTATCAGAAGTGACAGTAGACTGTCTCCCTACACTATTGAAGAAAATGAAGCTAATAGTTAATAATTGAATTTCCTATCATATATTAATCAATTATTGTTTAGGAAAAATGATTTTTGAACTATGAAATCCTATTTTTGATACCCATTAATTATGCACAATATAAATATGATTTTGTATAATAAAAATGATGTTTTTGGCATATAAAATATTATGTGATGCATGACGGTAAGTTCGGGTGTTAACACTCAAGACTAGGCCGCTGTTTGTTATCAAATTTTATGTTGATTGATGATTATGATCAATGATTATTATGATGATTATGACTTGATGAAACTACTGATTAAAATGATTATTGAAGATTAAATTATGAATTGAAATGAATATGTTGATGATTATGAAATGATTTGAATTGTAAGGATATCTAGAAGAACTCTAATATATACCTAGGTTGACGTTGGTTTATAAGACTATCTAGAAGACCTCTAAGATGGCTTAGAAATAGGCCTTGCGGGTATAATTATGAATATTCGGTGGCCTGGGTTAAAACGTACGTACGGGATCTACAAACCAAACTAGAGGAACTCGTTTGGGGATACCACCCAACCCGACAGTGAGCATTCCGATGTTCAGTTTCTGGATGACCTTAAGCGAAGGTAAGTTTAAGATTTTGAAAACCTCTTTTTGAAAATTTGTATCTTAAACTAGGCCTAGCTTAAGGATTAGTTAAGAGTACCTTAAACTCGAATATAGTTTAAATATATTAAACTAGAATTCGTTTAAGAGTTGGTAAACATCAAATAGATTGGCCTTAGACTAAAAATAGTTTAAGGATATTATTGAATGAGGATGTTGAATGTTGAATATGAATATTTAATGACGAATGTTGAATATTGATTATTGTATATTTGAACTGAATACTTTGTGCATGATATCAAATGATTTGATTATGAATTTGGGTTCAATTTATATGGATGTTCGACGCATTAGATATGCTTACTCAGCTTTACCGCTGAGCGTGTAGTATGTTTTATTTGCTACACGCAGGTCAAATTTCCCAAGTTATCTTTGCCGTTATTATCGTGATTGCAATTTGGGTTCAATATTATCATGTAGTCTGTTTTATTTGCTACACGCAATATTGAAAACTCCGCACTGTATATGTTACGAAAAATATTATCGTGATAAATAAAAGTGTTTGAAAAGTTTTAAATTTTACGATTACCAAGTTCATACTTTAGTCCGAAAGGGGCTGCAGACCTGGACAGATTAGGGTGTTACAAAACCTGTGTTCCAACACTGGAGAAGAAGAAGAAGGAATAACAAGTCACCCCTTTTCCCATGGCACTGATGACGAATCCCAGAGTCACAGCAAGCGAAGGGACTTGCCTAAGGAGCTGTGACCCTCCTTCCACCAGCCAGCCAACAAGCTCAAAGGCGGAAAACTACGAAGAGGAATTCTCTATGATTGTCAAGCAATTCCGGAAATTCAATAAGTTCTTCAAGAAAACTGACTCAGTTAAAAGGCCATCCAAGGGAAAGCTACAGGTAAGTAACTCTCCCCTTGAATCTTACTTATGCTATAACTGCACGAAACCCAGTCACTGGAATTCAGCTTGTCCGTACCCAAATGTGGAGAATACGGAGAAGGAGAAAGCAACGAGAAGAAGAAGAAGGCTATGGTAGCAGCTGAAAGTGACGAGTCTTCCAGTTCAAGTTTGGATGAGGAAACCCTCGTCTGCATAGAGCGCAGAGCTGAGAAGTCCAACCATGAAGATCAATGGACAATGTCAGAAGATGACACTCTCTGCCTAATGGCAAAAGAGGATGCTGATCAAGAGGTAACTTCACAAACCTCCTGCTCATCTTCTTATGAAAGCATACCCACCTCTAAAGGTCTTCTTGACAAGTTCAAAAAGATGATGGAAGATTTTGAGGAAATAAATCTCAAACACTCATCTTTGAAAGAGGAGAACAAGCTATTGAGTGAATAGAATCTCAAGTTGGCTGAAGGTCGGAAAAGTCTACTCAGTGAAATCACTCAACTCAAGGCTGAGAATGAATCTTTCTCTGAAAAGGTAAAAACTCTCAACAAGGAGCTAGGGATACTGCAGTCCAAAGAAGCTGTGGATAAGCTTCTTAATACGACCAAAAAGAAGGGTCGTGAAGGACTTGGGTTTGACCCCTCCAGTTCCAAAAGGAAAGGGAGAACAACAGTTATTTCTCCCAAACCTACTGCCGAACCCAATAAGCAGAAAGGTAAGGAGAAGGAAAAACCAACAGAAGTTCCAAAAAGGTTGTCCCTCCTAAAAACAATAGGAAACTCGAAATACCTCAAGGAGGAAACAATTTCAGAAGAAAACCCTATAACCCCCACTACACACGAGGCTATACTCATTTTGGGGTAGATAGGAGTTTTCCTAGAAATAGTGAGTGGAGAACTATGCCAAGATATAGTCATCCTCCACCCCAAAAATTATTTGTTCCACCTAAGTATGCTTACAACCGTCACAGGTCACACTATGCACAACCTAGACAAAACTATAGATCTCACCAACCTAAGTTTGCTAGGAAGAAACAGGAATTTGCACCACCTGCACGTAGGAAATTCTATGCCCAAAATGTTAGAACACGGGTTTACGCCTATGTCATACTAAGCCGTGCTCGTTTTTATGACAGGTTTTGATAATGCCAAACCACCGTGACAATAACAATGTTAAACTGAGCAAAACCAAGGCGAAGGAACATGACATGATGAACTGAGAACCAAGAACCAAGAATCAAGAACGAAGACTTAGAATTATATTGAGTCGGTTTTAATGTGATCAAGACCGGCACAAACCGTCAAAACATGGCTCTCTAGGCTCATTTCATCAAAATATTTTTTGCATACTCAAAATGATTTTCTTAAGTCTTAAACCTGCCTGAAAACACTCGGAGTTCGCCCAAACCAAAAACCAAGCCATCCGGCGTTCGGTCTTCGGAAACCGGTGTTCGGCTTTCGGTTATCGGCGTTGGTTTTTGGCGTTCGAACCGACCAAGTGGTATTCAACTTTTAATGAATTGTTTTTACTTCTGGGCATATTGAAATAGTTCTCCAACAAAAACGCCTCAAAAACCACTTTCCGTTTTTGGTCGTTTAGTGAAAACCATGCGAAACAGCACGAACTTGGTTAGTCGTGGTTTTCAACTAAATGACGTGGTTTTTAAAATGTTTTACTTGATTTCTTAGCAAAATTCAATAAACAAATGTTTTCAATACTTGGTTTTTACATTGGAGAACTTGTGTTTTTGACATCGGCTAACGGCGTGACTAAACCAACCATGGGTCTGGCTAAACCAGCCCAACAGTGATGTTGAGGTAACCAACAGCGCTGTCTGACTTGAGTAGCTAAAAACATGGTTTGGCGTTAAGTCCTCCAACAGCGATGTTGGACATTAGACATCGCTGTTGAGCCAAGGTTGGATTTCTAGAATCTTCTGGAACAGCGATGTAGGCTTCCCTACATCGCTGTCCAACCTAAGCCCAAGATATTGTGCATTGGCAGAAAGTTTAAGGACAGCGATGTTGACCCAGAAACAGCGTTGTCAGGCCAAATTTCCATCTTCAAAGGCAGACCTAAACATCGATGTTCTAGTATGGAACATCGATGTAGAGACCTGACCGTTGGAAGGAATTTAAGGCTAAAACTTTCCTTGTTTGGAAGTCAAAAGCCAAAACAGCGATGTAGGGATTTTAGACATCGCTGTTGGCATGACCGTTGCTTCCCATTTTTCAAAACGCAAGCCTAGAACAGCGATGTCCAAGCCTAGGACAGCGCTGTCTGGGTGAATTTCAATAGATCCAATTTTCGTCAATTCCCACAAATTGTGCCAATCACCCCTTAAATACTTTGGTCCGTTGGAGCCTATTTTTCTACTATAAAATGGGGTGTTTGGGTCTGTTTTACACATCACATTACTTCACAACTCCTACTCTTTCATTGCAAATCATTCTTCAATTATTCATAGCTTTTGAGAGCCATTTTTTGTGAAGCTTGTGTTGTGTTCTTGAGCGTTCTTAGTGTTCTTAAACACTTGACAAGAGAAGGTATTTCTCTTGTTGTTCGAAGGAAGGGCTGTTTCCTTCGAAGGTTCGTTGAGGTTCGTGTGACTCGAATTCTCAAGTTGTACGGGTTTGTTAAGCACCGTTAAGCTTAAAGAGGTAGTAGTTTAACTCGAGAGAGTCTCTCGGGAGGCTGGATTAGCCACAAGTTGTGGTGAACCAGGGTAAAATCGGTGTGCCTCTTACTCTTCTCTTTTACTTCTGGTTTATTCATTTTTTATTCCTGCGATTTTTGATCAAACGCTATTCACCCCCTCTAGCGTTAGTCTCTTATTCTAACAATTGGTATCGGAGCCTAACTCGCGTCCAAACTTAACCGTTTGAGAGTAAAGCGATCATGGGCTCTTCCTCTAGAAATCTCTATGCAGGAATTGGAGAAGGTCAATCAACTTCTAGGCCACCACTCTTTGATGGTACCAACTACTCTTATTGGAAGGAACGGATGAGAATCTACATTCGTTCCACCAACTTCCAATTGTGGTTGGTGATCAAAAATGGCGAAGAAATCCCTATGAAGAAAGTGGGAGAAACCACGGTCCCAAAGACCGAAAACGAATTTGATGCCAAGGACATCAAGAAGATTGAAAACTATGCAAAGGCCATCAATATGCTATATTGCGCGGTCAACCCCGATGACTACCGAAAGATCTCCTGTTGCACAACCGCCAAGGAGATGTGGGACAAGCTTGAAGTGACGTACGAAGGTACCGATCAAGTTCGCGAAGCCAAGATCGATTTTCTCACCCAAGAGTACGAAATGTTCCGGATGAAAGAAGGTGAGAAAATTGATGACATGTTCGACCGTTTTTCAAAGATCATCAACGACCTTCATGCTCTCAAAAAGACTTACACCAACAAGGATCTCGTGAGGAAAATCCTGCGAAGC